AGTGCCCCCTGAGCCCCCCAAAGCCCCCCAAAATGCCCCCTAATCCCCCCAAAGTGCCCCCTGAGCCCCCCAAAGTGCCCCCTAAGCCCCCCACAGTGCCCCCTGAGCCCCCCAGGGCCCCCCGGGGGTCTCACTCATGCTCTCGATGTCCAGCGAGTCGACCACGGAGCGTTTGTGCTCGTCGCTGGCGATGGCCCTCTCGAAGGCCTTCTGCTTGACGATGCGGTGACACTCCTGGTACTTGAGCTTGGCGTCCTTGTCGTTGGGCCTCACCTTCACCACCTGCGGGGACAGCGGGGGACAGCTGGGGACAGGGCCCCAGGGCGTGGGGACAGCACGGGACACGCCCTGACCCCCATGATGGACACCCTGACCCCAGGTGACCCCCCAATCCCCCTGCCCCAGCTCTCACCATCTCGTAGTCCCGCAGGGCAGCCTTGAACTTGCCCAGGGCCATGCTGCTGGCCGTGCACCCCCAGGGATGGACACACTGACTCCATGATGGACCCACTGACCCCAGCATGGACGCCCTGACCCCCATGATGGACACCCTGACCCCAGGTGACCCCCCAATCCCCCTGCCCCAGCTCTCACCATCTCGTAGTCCCGCAGGGCAGCCTTGAACTTGCCCAGGGCCATGCTGCTGGCCGTGCACCCCCAGGGATGGACACACTGACTCCATGATGGACCCACTGACCCCAGCATGGACGCCCTGACCCCCATGATGGACACCCTGACCCCAGGTGACCCCCCAATCCCCCTGCCCCAGCTCTCACCATCTCGTAGTCCCGCAGGGCAGCCTTGAACTTGCCCAGGGCCATGCTGCTGGCCGTGCACCCCCAGGGATGGACACACTGACTCCATGATGGACCCACTGACCCCAGCATGGACGCCCTGACCCCCATGATGGACACCCTGACCCCAGGTGACCCCCCAATCCCCCTGCCCCAGCTCTCACCATCTCGTAGTCCCGCAGGGCAGCCTTGAACTTGCCCAGGGCCATGCTGCTGGCCGTGCACCCCCAGGGATGGACACACTGACTCCATGATGGACCCACTGACCCCAGCATGGACGCCCTGACCCCCATGATGGACACCCTGACCCCAGGTGACCCCCCAATCCCCCTGCCCCAGCTCTCACCATCTCGTAGTCCCGCAGGGCAGCCTTGAACTTGCCCAGGGCCATGCTGCTGGCCGTGCACCCCCAGGGATGGACACACTGACTCCATGATGGACCCACTGACCCCAGCATGGACGCCCTGACCCCCATGATGGACACCCTGACCCCAGGTGACCCCCCAATCCCCCTGCCCCAGCTCTCACCATCTCGTAGTCCCGCAGGGCAGCCTTGAACTTGCCCAGGGCCATGCTGCTGGCCGTGCACCCCCAGGGATGGACACACTGACTCCATGATGGACCCACTGACCCCAGCATGGACGCCCTGACCCCCATGATGGACACCCTGACCCCAGGTGACCCCCCAATCCCCCTGCCCCAGCTCTCACCATCTCGTAGTCCCGCAGGGCAGCCTTGAACTTGCCCAGGGCCATGCTGCTGGCCGTGCACCCCCAGGGATGGACACACTGACTCCATGATGGACCCACTGACCCCAGCATGGACGCCCTGACCCCCATGATGGACACCCTGACCCCAGGTGACCCCCCAATCCCCCTGCCCCAGCTCTCACCATCTCGTAGTCCCGCAGGGCAGCCTTGAACTTGCCCAGGGCCATGCTGCTGGCCGTGCACCCCCAGGGATGGACACACTGACTCCATGATGGACCCACTGACCCCAGCATGGACGCCCTGACCCCCATGATGGACACCCTGACCCCAGGTGACCCCCCAATCCCCCTGCCCCAGCTCTCACCATCTCGTAGTCCCGCAGGGCAGCCTTGAACTTGCCCAGGGCCATGCTGCTGGCCGTGCACCCCCAGGGATGGACACACTGACTCCATGATGGACCCACTGACCCCAGCATGGACGCCCTGACCCCCATGATGGACACCCTGACCCCAGGTGACCCCCCAATCCCCCTGCCCCAGCTCTCACCATCTCGTAGTCCCGCAGGGCAGCCTTGAACTTGCCCAGGGCCATGCTGCTGGCCGTGCACCCCCAGGGATGGACACACTGACTCCATGATGGACCCACTGACCCCAGCATGGACGCCCTGACCCCCATGATGGACACCCTGACCCCAGGTGACCCCCCAATCCCCCTGCCCCAGCTCTCACCATCTCGTAGTCCCGCAGGGCAGCCTTGAACTTGCCCAGGGCCATGCTGCTGGCCGTGCACCCCCAGGGATGGACACACTGACTCCATGATGGACCCACTGACCCCAGCATGGACGCCCTGACCCCCATGATGGACACCCTGACCCCAGGTGACCCCCCAATCCCCCTGCCCCAGCTCTCACCATCTCGTAGTCCCGCAGGGCAGCCTTGAACTTGCCCAGGGCCATGCTGCTGGCCGTGCACCCCCAGGGATGGACACACTGACTCCATGATGGACCCACTGACCCCAGCATGGACGCCCTGACCCCCATGATGGACACCCTGACCCCAGGTGACCCCCCAATCCCCCTGCCCCAGCTCTCACCATCTCGTAGTCCCGCAGGGCAGCCTTGAACTTGCCCAGGGCCATGCTGCTGGCCGTGCACCCCCAGGGATGGACACACTGACTCCATGATGGACCCACTGACCCCAGCATGGACACAGTGACCACAGGATGGACACACTGACCCCAAGTGATCCACACTGACCCCAGCATGGACACATTGACCCCAGGATGGACTCACCGACCCCAGGATGGACACACTGACCCCAGCATGGACACAGTGACCCCAGGATGGACACCCTGACCCAGAATGGACACACTGACCGCAGCATGGACACAGTGACCCCAGGATGGACACCCTGACCCAGAATGGACACACTGACCGCAGCATGGACACAGTGACCCCAGGATGGACACCCTGACCCAGAATGGACACACTGACCGCAGCATGGACACAGTGACCCCAGGATGGACACCCTGACCCAGAATGGACACACTGACCGCAGCATGGACACAGTGACCCCAGGATGGACACCCTGACCCAGAATGGACACACTGACCGCAGCATGGACACAGTGACCCCAGGATGGACACACTGACCCCAGGTGACCCACACTGACCCCATGATGGACACATTGAACCAGGGATGGACACACTGACCCCAGAATGGACACACTGACCGCAGCATGGACACAGTGACCCCAGGATGGACACCCTGACCCCAGGATGGACACAGTGACCCCAGGTGACCCACACTGACCCCAGGACGGACACACTGACCCCAGGACAGACACACCCTGACCCCTGCCCAGCTCTCACCATCTCGTAGTCCCGCAGGGCCGCCTTGAACTTGCCCAGGGCCATGTTGCTGGCCGTGCACCCCCAGGGTGGACACAGTGACCCCCAGGTGACCCACCCTGACCCCAGGTGACCCACACTGACCCCAGGACGGACACACTGACCCCAGCATGGACACACTGACCCCATGATTGACACACTGACCCCAGGTGACCCACACTGACCCCATGATGGACACACTGACCCCAGGATGGACACATTGACCCCGGGATGGACACACTGACCCCCGGATGGACACAGTGACCCCAGCATGGACACACTGACCCCAGCATGGACACACTGACCGCAGCATGGACAAACTGACTCCATGATGGACACAGTGACCCCAGGATGGACTCACTGACCCCAGCATGAACACCCTGACCCCAGGTGACCCACACTGACCCCATGATGGACACACTGACCCCCATGATGGACACACTGACCCCAGCATGGACACACTGACCCCAGCAGGGACACACTGACCCCAGGTGACCCACACTGACCCCAGGTGACCCCCCAATCCCCCTGCCCCAGCTCTCACCATCTCGTAGTCCCGCAGGGCAGCCTTGAACTTGCCCAGGGCCATGCTGCTGGCCGTGCACCCCCAGGGTGGACACACTGACCCCAGGATGGACACAGTGACGCCAGGATGGACACAGTGACCCCAGGTGACCCACACTGACCCCAGCATGGACACAGTGACCCCAGCATAGACACAGTGACCCCAGGATGGACACACTGACCCCAGGATGGACACATTGACCCCAGCATGGACACCCTGACCCCAGGTGACCCCCCCAATCCCCCTGCCCCAGCTCTCACCATCTCGTAGTCCCGCAGGGCAGCCTTGAACTTGCCCAGGGCCATGTTGCTGGCCGTGCACCCCCAGGGATGGACACAATGACCCCAGAATGGCCTCACTGACCCCAGCATGGACACACTGACCCCAGGATGGACACACTGACCCCAGGTGACCCCCCAATCCCCCTGCCCCAGCTCTCACCATCTCGTAGTCCCGCAGGGCAGCCTTGAACTTGCCCAGGGCCATGTTGCTGGCCGCTCTCCGGTAGTAGCCCTTGACGTACTTGCTGTCCAGCTGCAGGGCGCGCGTGGCGTCGGCCAGCGCGTAGCCGTAGCACTCGGTGCGCAGGTAGGCCAGGCTGCGGTTGCCATAGTAGATGGCGTTGCAGGGGTTCAGCTCGATGGCGCTGCTGTACAGCTTCACCGCGTTCTCGTAGTCCTTGCCTGGCGCGCACACGCGAAAACACGCGAAAACACGCGTGGAGCCGCGCGTCGGCAACGGGGCGGGGGGATGGACAGGGGGGATGGAGGGGAAAGGGAGGTGGTTGGAGATCAAAGGGTTAAGTGACCCTGTCCTAACGGTCAGGAGTGACCATGTCCTAAAGGTCAGGAGTGACCGGGTCCCAAAGGTCAGGAGTGACCATGTCCTAAAGGTCAGGAGTGACCGGGTCCTAAAGGTCAGGAGTGACCAGGTCCCAAAAGCGACAAGTAACCATGTCCTAAAGGTCAGGAGTGAGCAGATCCGAAAGGTCAGGAGTGACCAGATCCGAAAGTTCAGGAGTGACCAGGGCCCAAAGGTCAGGAGTGACCAGGTCCTAAAGGTCAGGAGTGACAAGGTCCTAAAGGCCAGGAGTGACTGTGTCCTAAAGGTCAGGAGTGACCATGTCCTAAAGGTCAGGAGTGACCGGGTCCCAAAGGCTGAGAGTGACCATGTCCCAAAGGTCAGGAGTGACCGTGTCCTAAAGGTCAGGAGTGATCAGGTCCTAAAGGTCAGGAGTGACCAGGTCCCAAAAGTCAGGAGTGACCATGTCCTAAAGGTCAGGAGTGACCAAGTCCCAAAAGTCAGGAGTTACCATGTCCTAAAGGTCAGGAGTGACCAAGTCCCAAAAGTCAGGAGTTACCATGTCCTAAAGGTCAGGAGTGACCAAGTCCCAAAAGTCAGGAGTTACCATGTCCTAAAGGTCAGGAGTGACCAGGTCCCAAAGGTCAGGAGTGACCAGGTCCGATCAGGTCCCAAAGGGTCGAGTGACCATATCCGGAAGGTCAGGAGTGACCAGGTCCCAAAAGTCAGGAGTGACCATGTCCTAAAGGTCAGGAGTGACCGGGTCCCAAAGGTCAGTTGTGACCATGTCCGAAAGGTCAGGAGTGACCAGGTCCCAAAGGCTGAGAGTGATCAGGTCCCAAAGGGTCGAGTGACCATATCCGGAAGGTCAGGAGTGACCAGGTCCCAAAAGTCAGGAGTGACCATGTCCTAAAGGTCAGGAGTGACCGGGTCCCAAAGCATGGGAGTGACCAGGTCCCAAAGGGTGGGAGTGACCAGATCCGAAAGGTCAGGAGTGACCAGGTCCCAAAGGCTGAGAGTGACCAGGTCCCAAAAAGTGCAGGTGACCAGATGCCAAAGGTCAGGAGTGAGCAGATGCCAAAGGATGGGGGTGGCCGGAGCCCAAAAGCAAGAAGTGACCAGACCCCAAAGGCCAGAAGTGGACAGAACCCAAAGGTCAGAAGTGATCCCACTGTCCCCTATAGATCCCAGTCTGGCAGCCCCCACTGTCCCCTATAGATCCCAGTCTGGCAGCCCCCACTGTCCCCTATAGATCCCAGTCTGCCAGCCCCCACTGTCCCCTATAGATCCCAATCTGGCAGCCCCCACTGTCCCCTATAGATCCCAGTCTGGCAGCCCCCACTGTCCCCTATAGATCCCAGTCTGGCAGCCCCCACTGTCCCAATCTGATCCCAGTCTGGCATCCCCCACTGTCCCCTATAGATCCCAGTCTGGCAGCCCCCACTGTCCCCTATAGATCCCAGTCTGCCAGCCCCCACTGTCCCCTATAGATCCCAATCTGGCAGCCCCCACTGTCCCCTATAGATCCCAGTCTGGCAGCCCCCACTGTCCCCTATAGATCCCAGTCTGGCATCCCCCACTGTCCCCTATAGATCCCAGTCTGGCAGCCCCCACTGTCCCAATCTGGCAGCCCCCACTGTCCCCTATAGATCCCAGTCTGGCAGCCCCCACTGTCCCCTATAGATCCCAGTCTGGCAGCCCCCACTGTCCCCTATAGATCCCCCTCTGGCAGCCCCCACTGTCCCCTATAGATCCCAGTCTGGCAGCCCCCACTGTCCCCTATAGATCCCAGTCTGGCAGCCCCCACTGTCCCCTATAGATCCCA